GTAGTAGTAGTAGTAGTAGTGGGTGTAGTAGTAGTAGTAGTAGTAGTAGTAGTAGCAGTCGTAGCAGTGGTGTAGTAGTGGTGGTGGTAGTGGTGGTGGTAGTGGTGGTGGTAGTGGTGGTGGTAGTGGTGCCAGTGGTGGTGGTAGTGGCTTGTCAGGCATCAGCGTCGGACCAGCGCAGAGCTTGTGGATCGAGGGAAAATCAATGGTCATTGACGACACCTACCCTCATTCGGCTACTTGTGTTCGCAATGCCTAATGCCAGGTTCAATGACGGACATTTGTGCGGGGCATGGACTGCCGTGAGCCAATCTCGTCCAAGGTGAGCCACTGGGGCCAACATCCTCGCTATGTTCTGGCTACATGGTTCTGCCATCCTTGTGATGAGAATCATGACAGCGGCCAGGTATGTGCAGAAAGCTTGTAGAAAAAAAGTGGCGACGAGAGGGGAGGGAGCTGTCGTGTCAAGTCTCTTCACATCGAGATGGAAGTCTCTTCACGCCACCGTGTGGAGGAGCTTGGAGCAGCGAGCCTCCTAAGGAGCCCGCAGCCCAAGGCCAGGCATGGCCCGGCTCTTCCCCGCACACTTCGAAGGTTGACGGGTGTGTTCAGGCTCCTGTGAATCGAGTGCCTCCTCCAGCCGTGCCGGAAGAGATGGTGGAGAAGGCTTGTCATGACCACATCATGTCAGAAAAACTCTGCGGAAGTTGGGAGGAGGTGTGATGCTAGGAGCACTGCAACAGCACCGTGATTCTTAGCCGCATGTGCTGTGGCAGAGATCCGAATGAATCTGCACATCTCTTCCGGATGCCGAGCAGATAGGGACGCCCAATGGTAGAGCGCAGCAGCCTGCACCCTTCCGTGGAGACTTAGGGTTCCCGACTTGAGATCGTTACAGCCCATGTCTGCCAAGAGCCATGCGCCATCCCGCGCCCGAGAGAGAGCTCAGAGGCCGGGAGGGCCAGTTAGGCCAATTCATGGTCAGAGCCTCAGCACTTGCCGAAGGTGCCCGGCGCTGCCTCTCGATGCCGCTCCATTGCCTCCTCCGCATCCTGGCGAGTTCGCACGGAATCTTCTTTGGAAACGTGGGCTCATGGTCACGGACCGGAAGGTTGCTCCACGCTCAGCGCATGAGTTTGTGATGCCTAGAGGTGCCGTCTCTTTAGTTTTCCCACCGAGGCTCTTGCACGTCTGCGCCGGCGCTGTGTGCAGAGGGAGAACTGCTTCCCGCTTGGCCGCTTCGCAGAGCAGCAGGACCTCACATGCGAACGTGGAAGGCGCGCACGCGGGTACACGGTTGCATGCCGTACCATCGGCCGAGCCCCTGTCAGGGGGATTTGTTCGGCGACAAAGGAGCTGCCAGCCATACTGAAGGAGTGGAAGGCAGTGGAAGGCGGGCTCTCAGGCTGCGGGCCGCTTGGTTTTGGCAGCCCAGGTGCTGAGACGGCAGCGAGGGGCAGCAGCCTCTTATGCACGCGAGCTCCGCAACTGCCAAGAAGGTGTTGAGGAGTTCCTGCGACCCGTCAGAATCTTCATGGAGCCACTGCGCCATGCATCCAGGGCATCTGAGGTCCGATGCCACTGCAGCCATGGCTCGGCTGCTGCACCGCTCGCCGGCAAAGCTCCGTCAGCGTGTGCACACTGCAGCAGCTCAGCGGAATGATAGCTCCCTCGCGCTTCGCATCATCCGATTTTCAGAGTCTTTGAGAGTTTCGCAAGGTTCAACGGGACTGGCAGGCAGTCAAGGGTTCTGCCGTCGTGGGTTCCCCTCTGCCCTTCCCCCCGACACGGTCTGACAGGTGATGCGGCCGCAGCACCAGCTGCTCTTCTTGGCCACCGCGGCTCAGCGTGCGCTAGACCGCACCGAGCGGGTCGGCATGGAGCGCGCCGTTTGCGAGACGCTCCAAAGCCGGTCGAGGCTGCCAAGATGACATCAAGTATTGTCGGGCGTTGATTCTGGAACCTGCCAGGCAGGTCTCTGAGCCCTTGCCGGGACTCCGACAGCTCTTGCAGAGGGCACCAGCCTCCAGCGAGCTTTACGGTGAAGGCTGCGAAACTGAACAGGGTGCCTCCTTGACTAAGCCATCTTTGTCGCAGGACCTGATTCCACCTTCCGCCATCCCTTCGTTAAGGAAATGGGGCCGAACGGGAAGGGATGAAAGCTGCACAGTGTCGCACGCAGGAGCTGCTTCGGCGGGCACAAGCCCAGGTCTCTTGGGAGCCCTGGGTGATCTGCGTGCGCAGCTACGCCAGGAGCACCGTAGCGTTGTGCAAGCTTTGTTCTTCGAGTGCATTCGGATCGTCGTGTCAGGCCAAAGAGCCTGATGTCACAGACCATGAATGTCTTGCGATGTTCCGGGCTGCTCGAATACTGGGACCGAATTCATGCGCTGCTCTCAGTGGCTTCGGCGGTGCCACGTGCTGCTGCTGCTGCAGCTCGCCCGGCTGCCTTGAAGGTCTTCGTTTCACATGAAGACCCCGACTTCCTATCGGGGTGCTATGAGGAAGCGTTGGGGCAGCTACATGAGAGGACACCTTCTCGTCTGTGCCTTTGCATAAAGAATGGCATGCTGTGTCGGGAGGATCATCGTGGGCGTCAAGGGCGCGGAGACCTGGGCTGTGTTCCTGACATGTTCATGCTCTGCAATGCTGCAAGGCATAGGAAGGAGGCTGTCAAAGGTGCGTGCGGAGCATCACGGGCTGTCGCACAGTTCGCCGCTCAGGCGCCGACCTGCAGGTCCGCTTCATCGAGGAATGCTTTCTGCCGGGCCAGCACGTGAGGGCCTTGGCCTACTGAGGGCGTTGAGGCCTCATTCCCCCTCCGATCGGATCGAACGCCCTCTCTCCAGGTGGTGGTTATGGACGACAACTTGCTTCGCTTCGTCCGTCACGAGGCCGGCGAGGAGCCGCGGCAATTTTCTGAAGAGGCTGAGGAAGAAACATAAGTCTTTTCACGAACGGATGGAACGCCAGGAGTTCCCTGGAGACCTCGTTGCGACGATTGAGGCGGCCGCTGAGGCGATGCAGCGCTTCCAAGCCCACCTCTGGGGCCCGGGGCTAAGTCCTAAGTGCTGTGCGACGTCAGATGCGCCCGCCGAAGTGGGTGTCATGAACGGCTCTTTACGAAGTCTCTTCATATCATGTGACGGCGAGTCTCGTTCTCAAGGCATCTCTCCGACCAGCAACAAGAAGTTCCTCAAGGACCCCGCAGACCCGCAGCACCGTGCAGTCGTCCCTTACCAGAGCCGTTGCGATGCCAGGAGGCACCTGAGATTAGCACTGCTCTGGGTCTGGTGTACGGGGCCTTGTTCGGCTTTCGAGTCCTGCACGATCCGGATCTCTACACCCGTTTCGGCCAGGTGAAGGACGGAATACAAACAGCAAGAGGGAGTTTTGTTTCGTGCCTTTGAGACGAAGCATCCGATTGTCAGTTCTTGCAGGATGATTTGGAGCGTTCGCTACGCTACTGGCATCGCGATGGTGTTGTCGTGAGATTCCGACGCATGTCTTGCACGAAAGCCCAAAGACCTGGTGTCCCTTGGCTTGGGGATCTCTGCGCATTGAGCGTCTGCGCATTGGGATGCGTATGGACCTTAAGTTCCTTGAGGTCTACGCGAGCAGGAAGGGCGGCATCTCCGCCAGCATCGGTGAGACCGGACACAAGCTGCAGGGCGACTTCGCGCTTGCACGGCTCTCCGAACGTCGCTTGGATCTGGGAGCGGTCAATGAGCATCCTGTGCTACTTCCGAGCGGCATGTGAAGGAAGCATTCCGATGTCTTTGAGCAAGGTTTCGCAGCCTAGCAAACTACACAGTTGCTGAGTCGAGAGCACGCTTTAAGGCATTCGCTGCTGCCGCGCATGACCTGCCGTGTCCATGTTGTCCCCCAAATCCAAAATCACAAAATCTCACAGACAGACTACAGTCTGCGAAGAGCAGACGGGAAGGTCATGTGAATTGGCTGATCTGACTTCATCCAGAAGATAAGCACAAGAAGCGGACGCTGCGGATTGCTTCGGTGGGCAATGCCTGTTGCAAGGTTTCTCGCAGTACATCCGCTTGCCCAATCCAGAGATCGATCAGAAGAGGGACCCAAGTACAGGACAGGAGACAGGATGCAGCCTTGGAGCATCATTTCCCATGTCCAAGCCTTCTTGAAGGAGCCTTTCTTACCCTCTCTAGCAAGAAGCCCTGCTGGAAGGCCGGATCTCAGGTAGCGGATGCTCGGATGCACCAATGCACCAGGCAACGTCGCAGTAGCCTGCAGAATTCCTGATGCTGGACATAGGAGCCTTGCAAGCAAGGACTGTGGTGTGGTTTGGATGCGGAAGAAAAGTTCAAAAAGTACCACGATCCCCTGCGGGCCGTGGGCCTTGGCTCCCACAGGCACACATGATCACACATGCGTATGAAGATCATTGTGCATGCAGTACCTCCGACATCCTCCATGTGACACAGGCAGCAAGCTGCTCACGGGCTTTTGCTGCAGAGCCTGTCGTGGAGAATCCGACAGCCCGTGCCACTGCATTGACCCTGTCGAAGAGGACCTGCCAGCCACAGGGCAATGTGTGTACACTGTCAATGTGCAGCAGAGAGCGGCGCTGGAAGGAAGCTCGGCAGATCCTGGGCAGCAGAAGTGACGATGGGAAGCAGCGTGTGGGCCTGGCCTCAGCGGAGTGTTGGCGCTGCCCTCGAGGCTCTTCTTCCTGGAGGGTTTGGAGGGAGCCCGGGCAGTTGCGAGGCCAGGCGCGAAGTCGAAATACCTCAGGACTCAGAATCAGCCGTTTCTTACTTTGAGGCTCTCGGCTCTGGGGAGCTTCCTGGAGGAGCGCGCCCTGCGAGCGCTGGAGCACGAGTGGTCGGGACCTCAGAAAAGAAGCGCCCGAGCTCGCTTTGGTTCGTGCAATCGCACAGCACGAGGCGCCGGCTTCCTCGCCGGCAGAGGGCCGACATGAAGGTGCCGTCGGTGCCGTGGTGTCCGAGCGCAGAGAATCCTCGAATCCTCGAGTCGGAGCCGGAGGCGCTGGCAGCACGAGACTTGGAGCAGAAGCAGTGGTGCCCCTGCCAGGCTGGGGGGACAGGGGTTCAGTGAAGCCTCAACTTGAGCCTAGCAGTGCCTAGTAACTTGCAGGACTCTCGGAGAGGTCCGTGTCCTTGTCCCTCAGCTTCCGAGCCGGCGCCTTGCTCAGGGAGACTCGGAGAGAAATGTCCTTCAAAGCAGCGACAGGCCTTCACCATCCCAGCACCTTGCAGTCCGACAGCGCAAGCGAGTGGCTCCTCTTACCACCTAACGTCGTGGGGGTTTCATGCTATGACCATTGATGCTCATGTCGGCATGTCGGAGCCGAGGCACGAAGCAGCGAGTTGCCAGAATTTGCCAGAAGAGACAGAAAAGGGCCAGCAGAAAGTTGGTATTCACTGTTACGACCTAGCTTAGCCCGTTTGGACTGTCCGTGCGGGCACCAAGTTCAAGTCGTCCCATTCTGCAGGCCGTGATGGCTGCGGAAGCTGCGCGACCTTCCGAGCTAGAGCGGGAAGAGGATTGGCATAGGATTGGAATTGAATGGCATTGGCCAATTGGGGAGTCAATTCACTCCCCAGTCGTCGCTGTCTCCAGGCGCATGGGGAAGCAAAAGAGGAAGACCCAGCAGTTCTGAAAGCTCGCGCTGCCAGCTATGGCAGAGCTCTGCAGCTTTGTGCTTGCTGCCCGGGGAAGGACCTTTGACGGCACACTCTATGCTTTCCTTTCACAGCTGCATTTTGCAGGAGAAAGCGGGCCTGAAGTGGCTAGACGACATGCAAGCCACTCTCCCAGTGAACTGAACTGCTTTTTGCTGCGCCGGGTGTTGCAAAACCCCCCCCCCCCTTCCTGTCCCCATTGAGCAGACTTCGATCAAGTACAAGCTGTAACGCTATTGGAAGGACAACAGGAAGTTGCAGAAGGAGATCAGCATGGCTGACTTCTTGGCAGCCTTCCACTTATGCGAGGCCAGGATCGCATGTGCAACTCTAACTGTTGCAAGTTTTCTTGGATCCAGGCTTGTGACGAGTCATTGCTTCGAGTGTTCACGTTGCTTGTGGAGATGCACGACAAGAACGGCGGGCGCCTCGAGTGGAGCAGCCGTGGCACCGTGAAGGTGTATTCTGCCGTCCGGTGTCCTCGGCCGTAAGCCCGGCGGTGAGGTTTCGTTCTCGACACGCCGCTGGAGTCTCACGAAGGCGAAGGACAGGAGGCTTGGCTGCGGAATGCTCTTTGGTCGGCACCGCCTCGGTGAAGCTGATCTTGTCAGGGCGTGTCCTGGCTTCGCGACCGATTCGGGGAGGACGTGTGGGCAGCCCTGGCGCGCCATGCGGACTCCTGGCTCCTTCCCGCGACTCAGAGCGCGGCTACATGCCCGGCATTCCGAAGGCCACGATCTCAGCCGCTCCATCATGCCTCGCATCGTGTACAGCATCGCCCATGCAGCACGCCATGAGAGGTGCAGCTCCGCGGTGCTGCGTCTGGGAAGTTTGCTCCGGAGAGGGAGCCAACACAAACCAGAAGTCGATGGCCTAGTGAAAAGCCAGTGGGCGCCTGGGCGGCACCGGTTCGGACAGCTGTCATTTTGGTCAAGTTTCGGGGTTCTGTTACTGTCCTTATTTCTCTCTCGCTTTCTTTCTTTGTTGTGTTTGAAGGTGCGGCCAATTCTGGAGGCTTTGGACTCTCCGAGCCCGGCAGCGATGGTGAAGCTGCGGGAGACTCCCGACCTTGGCGCCTTCACGGCTGATGCTTTCAGGCATCCCATGCACTGCTTTGCATAGAGGGAGTGAGACAAGAAATGTTCGGCATGTGTGACAGGCATCTTGGCATTACTGTCAGCTCCTGCCTCAGCTTCGACTTGCCGCAGGTGTGAGCACGAGCGGAGGGATAGCAGTGTCACTCAGGCGACGCCGACGGCTGGCTTGGGCCTTCTCGTCACAAGCGTGTGTGACGTGACATCCACAGCACGGTGAGGTCTGCGGAGGCAGCGCGGCAGCTGCGCCGGCAGGCCACGAACAGTCTCAGTCAGTCCAGCGTAAAGGCGTCAAGGAGCCAGCCTGACAGGCAATGCTGGACAAATGGTCTCAGTGGTCAGGCTCTCCACCAGGAGCCGAGCTTAAGCGAACTTCGCCCTTCTTTGTCTGCAACAGAAGCCAACAAGGTCCAGGCAGCCTAGCCTTGTTGGCTTATGACTTGACGGATCAGGCGGGGTTACCAACGTTGCCAGTGCTCTGACTGCGGCCTGTGCTGGTTATCGCCACGCTTGACGGCTCAGGCGGGCAGCCTGTGCTCCGATGGTGAAGTGCATCGTCTCAGCCTGAGCTCCGCGGCTCTTCGCTTAAAACGTGATTTAAAACGAGCTCTCGGATTCTCGGCCCGGCCAGGGCGCCGCCTTGAGCCCGCTGGCACCCATGCTTTGCAACCACTGGCCGCGAACTCAGCGTACTCGTAATGCCTCTGCAGGCCATGTCGTTCCGTTATTGGCTCAGGAGGAAAAGGGCGCTGCCGTTCACGCGGAGCGGGCCGCCCTGCTCGAAGCTCAGAACGCGCAGCAGGGAGAGACAATTAGCCTCCCGACCCGCGGGGCTTGCAGAATGCGGCTCACCTAACCCTGCTCAAAAAGGGCTTCGAGTGCGCACCTAAAAATGGTGCAAGAGCTGGCAGGGTTGACTTCCCGCGTCGCCAGCAACTGAAGGTGTTCGTCCAAAACGGGCCCAGAGAGTCAATTTTCGATCGTATGGCCTTTAGGCTTCACCCACTACAGGCACAGTGACGCCCATGTGCAAGTTGGGCAAAGCGCAAACACAAGCATCTAGCCAGTCTCCTCCATGTCTGTGTGGCTGTCGCACCCGTGCATGTGGCACAAGACCTGCGCCCCTTCCCTCCCGAAGATTGATAGTCTTTCCCAACTGTAATGAGCCGGGCATAGCCGGGCCCTATCATTAGGGTCCGGAGCCTGGCAGGCCTGACGAGACCTCGTCATGGGACCGGCCTCGAAACGGGGGCATTCGGAAGAGCAAGCCGAGCTGAGGTTGGCCTTGGCAGAGCGCTTGCTTCGACGGCATCCAGGAACTGAGCGCCCTTTCCGCATCTTCTTCTGGCTGAGTTTCAGCGCTTTCAGGACAGGGAGGCTGCGAGGTGTCCGGAGTGATGGCCCTAGAGAATTCGGCAAATGTCGCAGGGTTGAATTGGGGTCTATCCCCATGCAGGTGGTGCTGCTTTACAGCCCATCCCCTCCGAGAACTGCCAGCATCTTCACTGCCAGGGAGTTCTTGCAGCCAAGCTCCGAGAGACCTCTTCGCGGCTGTGCCGGGTCGGGTGACGAGCCTGTGGAGCAGCGCTGCAAGGCTCTTCCCGAGAATCGAGATGCGGGTAGCCTTCGGAGATGCCATGGACCTCAGTGAGGACCCCGGACGGCACCTTTCCGAGCCGGAGTTCTGAGTGCGAGCTTCGACGTTGCAAGGTCCGAGCCTCCCTGTCACGAAGATTGGCACGGAAACGGAGCCGGAGCCCCATCAAGACAATCCCTCAGCGACCCTTGCTGGTTTGCTCGTCCTAGGTCGAGCAAAGTGCATGCAGCAGAGGTGGGTTCTCAGGTTCGCTTGCATGTGCGAGGGCTGTTTTGATGAAGACAAGGCTTACAATGGCAAAGCTGCTACGAATGGCCACGCTCCAAACGGTGCGCAGCCGAGATCTCCTTCTGTGCTTTTCCTTCCGACTTTGCAGCGCGATCTTGCAGGCGTGCAGGCCGGGGCGCGAAGTGCCTGAGTGGTGCGGTGAACGGGAAAAAGTTCGGAACAGAGTTGGAGGTCTCAGGTTGCCTTGCCTGGCTTGGCCTTTGTGGCACATTGACATGGAGCGCACATGTCGTGTGGATCGCCCGGGCTCTGCGCCGTGCAACGTTGCAGTCCAGCCAGTAGTTCTGTCATGCCGGCCCTTGATGGCGTTCGATGGCGAGGTGGATGAAGCCGTTACAGGCTTTCACTAGCTTGTTCAGGAAAGATGAGAATCAAGAGGCAGGATGCTTTCTAGGCTTCTTATGTGCGGATGCGCTTCGGGGTGTTTCCATGAGCAGATCGAAGGCAGGAACAGACCGGCGGAAATCGTCTCTGAAAAAAGTCGACAAAAGTTTCAAGGATGCCGGCAGGACTTCGGACGGCGTGGATGCACAGCTATTAGGCTATGAGTATGCAGTGTGCAGTACGACTGGAGAAGCCAGTGCCTGCCAGCGGATAAGCTCCGCCAGGAGTGGCCAGCGCTTGCGCTTCGACACCGAAAGGATGAACACGGCCAACCCTGCTGAGCAAGACAATCACGCCGAAAGGGATGCGAAGGCAGCACCCAAATGTGCGAAAGATGCAGTGAAGGACACTGAGATGTTGCGAGGTTGCCGGTGACTTGTTTTCAGCAGGCTAGCTTCCTGGCTTTCCTGCCTCCCAGTCTGGTGTCTCGCAAACGGTGATCCGCGTTGAAGTTGCAAGTCCTGTCCCCGAGTGGTTGTAGTTCTCATGTTTGATGGTTTTGCGGTTTCTACATGAGCGAGGAAGCTCGCACCTCTTTCCCGCCTGCTCTCGTGGATGGATACTCGCGGTTGCGGTTCTGTGAGAGAGAAGGGCCTGTCATTCTTGAACAGTCGTTGGTGCACAGAGTTTTCAGTGTTCAGGTTGGGGGACATACCCCACAACGCTGAACAGAGTGGGGAGGCCAGCCGTGACATCTTAAAATGTCCAACCAAGAAAGAGACGTGCGCAGTCAATCAAAACACAAACGAACGAACGCACAAACAGCTAACTAATTAATTAACCAAGCTATCAACCAGCCAATCAATCAATCCTCAAACAAGCAAGCCAGCTAACCGGCCGGCTTGTGAGCGAAGACCAAAGGACAGCCGGGCAGGTTTGCTAATGAGCTCGAAGCACAGAAGGTGAATCACAGCAAAGAGCTCGATTCGTGCACGGTGCTAGTGTTTTGTTCCGTCCAACACCGCCCTGTGTGTTCTTGTCTGTCAAAGATTTTTTAGCCAACGTCTTGTCTGAATTGATGTCGCCCGCCTGTCTTAAGATGCTGCATTGCGAGGATTCGTCGCGCGAAGGCTTTGGCGGGCCCATCAGGGCAAAGCCAATGCAGTCGACGCGAAACCGTGACGACGAGTGTCTGAGCTGGAGTGGGAAGGATGCCTTGTGCATGCTGCTGGGCATGTCTTCAGAGCGATTCTTCAAGGCTGAGCTGCCACGTCACTGCCGCCTACATGTCCGTCACGGGCTAGAGGCGAAGCCGAGCCCGACTGTTCCGCTTAGCAGCTGGCTGTCTTTGGTGATTCGACCTGTCAGGAGCTTCGCAGGGCGCATTCGCTTCCGAGTGGTTCGGAACCAATCCCAAGCAATATCCGCGAAGCGGATGATGACCTACAGAGGCCACAGCTTGCGATACATCCCATCGCAGCTTGGATTCCATGACCCTCTCGGCAGAGAAAGTACCCAATCCAGTCCAATATACCGTTGATACCGATTCATACCGTCTTAGCTCGAAGTTCTTGCGAGGATTTCTGGAGGAAACCTCACAGCCAGCTCAGCGTGTACAGCAGCTGAGAGGCACCGAAGTACAACTGATGCAGCGATCACACCGACGCAAGTCTACTTGTCTCAGCATTTTCCATGATACCTAGCTGCAGCCTAGTGCACATCAGCGTTCGCAGCATCACCAGCCTCTTGCGTCTCATCCCGCTTATTTGAACAAGCCCCCGACGCCAATACTGTGATGTTGATAGCATTTGATGCGCCTCCGTCGTAGACCACAGCATGCAGTTCGAAGATTTCTTAAGACGGAGGCGGCAGACAGCGCGTTGCCGTGCTTTTGCACGGTCTGGCAAGTGAGGTTGGGGTGTGAGGGCACAACGAGGCGTTGACATCGCCATTGTTGATGGCGTTTCAGATTCGAGAGTGCTGGATGTTTAGTCATCTGCAAGACAGTTTGCCTGCGTGGTGAAAGTGTGTTTCACATCAGACGATGTCTATGGTCCCACAGGGTGCTCCCATCTTTGTGGCTTGCTGCCTGCCTGTAGCCACAGAGCCTTGATGCAGTGACATGTAGTGTGGGGTGATCACCTCCTTTGTTCCAAGAGAGTCCCAGTTCAATTGCAGCCAGGCAGGGGTTCCTTTGAGTCTCGTCACGGTGTGAGAGCACCGGCTGTCCAGGCCCCATGGAGACCCTTGCCATGGGAACCCTCAACAACCTCCACACTCTCGGAGTGGGAGTTGCGTGTACCGCCTTTGTGATGACTGAGTTGTGCTCGGCTCAGAGATGCAACTTGGACACTCCTTTGCCTCCGTCAGATTCCTTAGATGCAGACTCTCCCGAGGCAAAGGCGTTTTGACTTAACCACCGTCGATCTGAAGTCGCAGCCGAGACGCAGCTTACTGTTCAGTCAGCATTAGCCTGCAGGATATGGCAATGGAGAAATGAAGCGAGACGTGTTGAGGCAATCCTTGCGAATCCTCTGCCGGAGTTTGCCAGAAACCTGTGCCTTGGCGGCGACGCTGCTGGTGGCCTTGGCCCTGCGGCTCTTCTCAAACCCAGATCGAAATGTCTCGGCGGATCCAGCGGAAATACAAGTCTGGGCTCCCCGGTTGCAGCGTCGCCGGATCACGTTGCACCGGCTGCTTGCCATGCTTCAGGAGCAGATCAAGCAGGAGTGGCCCATTCTGATGGGTGCGGACACCCTGTTGGCGGTGCAGGCCATGCTGAGGTCGGGACAAGAAATGGCGAGAGATCTCTGACCGCAAGCGGCCGCAAGCGTGCATGTTTTTTCTTTGCTTGCGGCAGGCTCTTGGTGTGGGTGGCAGTGGTTCTCCGCATGTCCAAAGAAACGGATGGATCTCCTTTGGCAGGCCACGGAGGGACGTCGACGAAGGCTCTGTATTGGTCCAGTTGTCAGCGCGCCAGGAGCTTCGTCGACGCTTTACTTGGCAGCAGCTGGAGCACGAAGCCTTCTTTCAGCGCAGACGTCCGCTTATGGTGGCCTGGCGAAGAGAGGGAGCGGAGCCGTGCGGAGCCATGGCACGTCACGTCAGAAAAGGTCTGGACGGGCCTCTTGGCGGTTCCTTCGCTGTCTTCTGTGAGGCAACGGGGAAACCCAGGGCTGGGCCTAGCTGGGAACTGTAGCTCGTTTGCAGAGGTCACCTCCGGTGCGTGGCTGGCTGCCCTTTGCTCCAAGGTCGGCAGAGGCCCGGAAACCGGAAACCTCTAGGCCCTAGGCTTTTTCTGCGGGTCTGCCGGTCATTGGAGCTGGAAGTTTCTGAGGCTCCTGGTGCTCGGGCGCCTTCTTCGCGCTGGCGGCCTGGGCAGCGTCGCGTCACTACCTGAACCTCTCCGGAGCCGAGCCGGGAGGCGACTACTCCAATGACAGGCCCGGCGGGGCCAGAGCGGCCGGGGCTGGGGCTGGGTAGGCAGAGCAATCAAAGATCAGAGGGCCCACTTTCAGGCTCTTCATCCTGGCGCACTGCCTGGAGTTCTTTGGATCGATGGCACTTTTGGCGCGATCTTTCCGCACCGTGGCCGGGGAGCCTGAGTCGACCCAGGCCCGAGCCCTGAACCCGCGCAGGCCCGCAGACACGTCACAGCATCCTGCGATTCCTTGTCCTCCTCCGCCCTGCAACATTTTGGCGGCCCTGGTTAGCCCTGGCTCCAGGGCGTCGACTTCCTGGGACGGCTTCGTGTACTTGCTGATGGCCGCCCAGCAGGCCTTGCCGGCCTATTACTTTCTGACGGCCTTCGCGCCATGTCAACGACTCGTGGGCCGGAGACTCACGCCTCTCAAAGACAGACTCCCCCAAAAAAGACTTTGTTGAAGGCAATTATTGCAAGTGGCTGAGGCGAAGGTCGACCATTCTGTCTGTTGATCATGGCAAATCTGCTCCAGCTGGCTTTCCTGCTCTGTGCCTTGGCCTTCTACGTGGCTGGCCTACTTGGCGTATCCACAGTCCAGGGAGGCCAGTCGACCCAGATCCATCGTGTCTGAGCGTCTTGCGCAAGCTAGCGCAAGCTGCCGCAAGCTTAGCCGCCAATTGCTGAATGAGCTGCATGCTTAAGAAAACGCTGCCTTCATCTAGGTGAGCCGGCATTGCTGTTGATGGATTCTGGCAAAGGTGCTCTTGGTGAGTGTATGAAGGGCTCCTACTTGTCTCTGCAGCTTTGGAAGAGGACTTACCATACGCGAGCCACGACCAGAGACAGCTCTACCCAATAGCATCGCCGCAACGCATCAGAATGCATCCATGCTCAGTAAGAATACCTGGACATCCGAGCGGGCCCGGCCCCAATGAGCCATGGGCCCCCCTCGCTGCTGGATGAGAAAACTTCCTGGGCGGAATTCGGAACGGGCCTCGGAAATTGATTGGGCCAGGAAGTGGTCTCTGTCGCACTGCGACCGCGACGAAGGCAAGCAGCACCTGGATCGACGCCTCACCAAGGCGAGGGTGACGTCCGGGCGACGTCCAGTGCCGGTGCTGGTGCTCCCTGAAACCGTGACTCCAAGGCACTGACAGACACTCTGCGGCTGCAGAGGCCAACGTGGCGCCCCTCAGGAATCCAAACACTTTGCTGCGGTTCCTGCTCAACTTAACCTATTGCGTGCTGGGTGCTTGCTTCGTGGTATCAGCAGGGCAGGGGGTAAGTGTAACGTGTGGGGCCATCAGGCCTCTGTCGTCCGATTGAGAGTCGATGGTCTGGGTGCACGATTTTGGCGTGGTCCAGCTTTGTCGTCTTCAGCAGACAGGCTGTACTGACAGATGCGGACAGGCTTCACGTAGCTTTGACGTAGCATTGTTGCACAGCGAGGCTTGTTCAGTCACGTGGAATTCCTGTCGCCCTCGAGGGTAAGGACCTGGTGCCATTTGGCCATCCCTGCAGCGTGGAGCTGTTGCAAGCTGCAAGCGAAGGACCTGCTCTGTCGTGCACGAACCGGGAGCGGCAAGACTCTGTGCTACGCAATCCCGCTTGTCAGCGGCCTGGTTGTTTTCAGGGATCCAGGAGTCCACGGAGAGTCCTGAAACTGCTGGCATGTTCTGAGGTGCAGCGACTGCTTCAAGAGGTGGAAGCCAAAGGCAAGCGCTGGTATGCATCCTGTCCTTCGAATGGTCTTGCTTCTGGTGAGGTTCTGCAACACCTCTGAGTGGTCTCATACTAGTTCCCACCAAGGACAGAGCCTTGCCCATTAAGAGGTGTCGCCTTTGAAGCTCCAAGCCTGGCCTCGGTAGCGAAAAGAATCTTTCGGGCCAATCCTCGCCAGGAGCTCATAGCTCAGGTGCACCGTGTTGTCACGTCTTTGCCCGCCGGTCCTGTTTGACGGCGAATGTGCGGTTGCTCTGCTAGTATGCTGCACGCAGCAGGCTAAGCTTCTGTTTCGATGTTCTCACCGTGGACATCCTCCTCTCGGGTGTTGCGACCTTGGGGCATGGCTGCGGAAGAGCCTCCGCGTTCGCAGAAGTCGAACTGCCGAGGACAAGTACAGCAAAGCAGAGCTGCCTGTGATGCCCTTTGGACGCATCTTAACTAACTTCTTGATAGATACTGAAAGAGATGAGTGGAGCTCGACATGAGACAAGAATTTTGTGTAGGCCACATTAGCAAGGCCGTTGATCCATACGAAGTTTCAAGCGGTCTTGAAACTCCATCCGAAACAAGGGGCTCTTTCCTGAACTATCGCCCTGCATGGCTTTGTCTTGGCCATGTTTTGTGTGCGTGTGTGTGTGTTGATCCTAGCGGCCCTAACGTGGCAGGTTGGTGACAACACCCTCCTCGCTTCTTGCACTGGTGAAGCAACGTGAGGCAGGATGAATGTGTATGTCGGACTCGGTTTCATGAGCCCAGGCGGTCTCGTGCTTTCAGGCCCGAGGTGCCATGAAACCGTTGTCAGAGTGGAGCTGGCTGGTTTTTTGTGGTCACGACGTCATGACGTCATGAAAGAAGTTGCTGCCAGGACACTGAAAGTCTTGATTCTGGACGAGGCCGACCTTATGTTTTCATACGGCTACGAGGACGATGCCGGCTCCCGAGACAGTGTCATCATTCCCTTCAACCTCAGAGAGCGACAGTTTGCGAAGGTCAAAGCTCTTTGTGCCTTGATGCCACCCAAGTACCAGGTCCAGAGTCTGGTTTGTCCGCACCAAAAGCAAGGCTTGTGCTGGCAGGCGATGCTGGTCTCTGCGACTTTGTCAGAGGAAGTTGAGCAGCTCAAGGCAAGGACCCGTCGCCGCTCCGAGCGAAGGCACAGCATTCTTGTTTCTGGAGGGCCTGATGCTCCACAAGCCGGTCGTCCTCAAGCTGGAGGAGCCGCGCGTGACGGGAAAGCTTACACAGCCGGCGCCTCCAAGGGATGCCTCCAAAGTTACTCTCGAAGTGTCGACTTTGCGCGCATGTTCAGGTTTTACTTTGTCTGCCACAAGACCGACAAGTACCTTATCATCTATACGCTGCTGATCCTTGGATCTGCAGAAGAGAGCGTGCCCCGCATGGACCCAACATGCGACCTTCGTAACGTGATTTAGCTGCCTGCAGGAAGCTGCAGCTGATACAGGGAAAGACGCCTCGCCCTTAGCCTCCCCCAAGATCGAAGGTTGCGTGAATGCAGAGCAGGCGGAAGGGGGTTGGCATTCGGCTGCAGGCTAATCTTCGTGCAGAGCGTTGAAGCGGCCTATCGGCTTAAGATCCTGTCCGCTCCTCGGCAGCGGGGGGAGCCCTGAGCCCTCGAACTGTCGAGTGGGAGGCTGGAGCGCTTCAGCATTAACTCCGCCGTGTTGAACTCCGAGTTACCGCACGCTAGCCGCCTGCAGCTCACCTCGGAGCCCCCGCACAAAACTCTCTGTTCCGCACCCCCGATTCTCCGATCTCAGGTCAGAACATCATCGACGCCTTCAATCAGGGGGCAGTGGAGCTTCTCGTTGCCACTTGACCGACCAATCTGTATCGCTTCTGCAATGGAAACGCAGGCAGTTTATTTAATGTCACTGTCCAGCATGAAACCCTGAGGCCACTGATGAGGGCCTCGGGGGCAATGAGGACAGAGACTGCAAAGCACGCACGTGAAGAGCGAGCGAACGACGAATGCCGAAGGAAGAAGAAGTGGCCGAGGCTGGGCCAGCAACAACTTGGCTCCGTTTCCATTTTGTGCAGGCTCCGGCTCTTGCAGAAATTCGAATGCTGTAGGAGGGCTTACCCAAGTGCGAACAGCTGCAGACCGAAGTCACAAGTTCTGCTTCAAACTACCGAAGCCCTAAGCCCAGGGTGCTCATCAGGCCAAGCAGGCAAGACTGAAGCATAATCTGGAAGAAATGGCAGTGGTGTGTCCCTCCGGCCATGGACTCCTGGCCCAGTCTCGGAGATGAGCTCCGAAGAAACGGGCCCTGATTCAGGGACCGATGCTTGCATCGAGACCGGAGGTGGGTGTGTGTTATGTCGGGAGCGGAGACATTCGGAGCGTAACATCAGCATTCTCCTTCCAGGATCCGTGAGCCTTCGAGGTTTGCGCGGACGCTCAGGGAGTTTGGAGACGAGTCGCTAGTCTCTGAGACGTCGAACTGAAGGCGCTCCAGCTCCGTGTTCAGACAGGTGGCATCGCATGGCATGTGCAGCTTCAACTGTTGTGTCTCCAGGTAGGGGAGGCCACCGACATGGCCGCTGACAGAGCTGACGGACGTTGGCTGCAATTTCGTCGCTGGGCATCTGTGCTTCCGAGCTCTCGGCGCTGGAGCTTGCGAGTGGGGCTTGGTGACCATCAACGCTTCGGAGCGATGATGTGCCGATGACAGCCGAGACAAGCTCCAGCGTGGCAAGCCGCGTGAATGAGTTCACTGCACGGGCTTCGGCGAATGCGATGCACCTGGGCAGCAAAAGACCCTGTGGCTCAGAAGACCAACATGGGGGCTTCAGTCTCGCTGCCTTAGGTGTGCCTCTGCCTGATCGGTCTTCGTGAGCGAGTTGGCGAGTTGAGCTCTTTCTAGAGTTTAGGACCTGAGCTTCTAGGACCTGAGTGCACTGGAGCTTTCCCAAACACTTCGGGCATTCGCCAAACTGCAAGCAAGAGGCTCTGAGCTCCCTTGCTTGGAGTCTTTGGAATCCATAGCCTCAGCTGCCAGTGCACTCTCGCCGACAGAGCCTGCAAGCTTGGCATGGGCAGCCGCAGCAGCTCGTCTGGGTTCCAGCGAGAAGCTGTTGGAGACCATCGCTGGCACCGCCATCTGCACTCTGCCATAATCCCGTGCGCGCAACCCTGCAAACGCCTCTTGGGCTTCTGCCGTTATGCGATCTGACCACCGGCCCTTCCTCGTGGCAGTGGCATTGCAGACGACTTCGAGAATTGCTGATTTCGGAGTTCAGAGCGTTTCCAACACGTCATGAAGGCCTGCTCGCTTGAACGCTTTCGACGTCCCATTGGCAGCGGCTCCTTCGATGCGGGCGTCGCAGCTGCTTGGAGGGCTCAACGTGCAGAACACAACAAACACACTCTGGACCTTCGCTGCTGTGGTGCATGGGGATGCAGCGTTGCCGCAGGGTGTCTCCAAAGAGTTGATTGAGAAAATGAACGAGATTGATTCACGGAGCCCTGGAAACATCGCCCGATGGTTGGCGCGCCTGCTGGCTCACGGCACGCTGCCCCTGCAAGCATCAGGGGATCGGGCTGTGGCTTACGTTCGAACGGAGTTCGCAGCTCAGAGCACTTCGAACTCCGTTCGGACATTTGCGCAGCCCAAGCTTTGAGGCCAGAGATTTTTCTCTGCCATGGGCGAGCTTGGCACCAGGTCCGACTTTGATGCGCAAGGGACAACGAACACGTTGTGGGCTCACGGCACTTGCAACGTCTTATCTCGGTCGTTGGTGTTAGCGCTGAGGGGACAAGCCCGACTGAAGCTTCCCATGCTTGCAGCGCAGAACCTCAGCAACATGGTTTGAAGATTGGCACGACCGCAAGCTCAAGGGAGGGCACCGGCAGATGCTACCGCACGCTGCACAGTCGCGAAGCGCGCAGAGCCCAGACCGCAGAATTTGGCGAACAGATTCCGAGGTTCCAGCAAGTCAGGCACTCGAGATGTGGCTTCTTTTGAATCCACGAGAAGCTGTGCGCTGAAGCTCGTGAAGTTCGAATCCAGCTGCCAGGATCCATCCAACGGTGCTTGAGCTTTCGCAGCACTCCGAACGGAGCACATGCCACTCTCGCACGTGCTCGGATCAACCGGCCTGAAGTCCATGCCTGAGTCTGATCATCAGAACCTGGCAGGCACTGCACGGGCCTTCGGCCTCTCAGATTCGCAGGGCACCAGGCTTCTCACGGCAACTGCGTCCGCTTCAGCTGCCCGGCTGGGGGACTTCGGGCCACTGAGCCTGGTGAGCCTCGCGTTGGCTTCCGCAAGGACAACCTGGCGTGGCGAGGCGCTGCTGCAAGCGACTGCGAAGAGAGCTTCAGCCACAGCGCAGCAGCCCAGCCCCCAGGGCTTGGGGAACCTGGCGTGGAGCATGGCAACACCCCTCGTTCCCGACAAGTCCTCTTTGGAAGTCTTGGTTCGCGAGGCGAGGGCAAGCGCTCGAAGAGAGAGAGAGAGAGAGAGAGAGAGAGAGCGAAAGAAAGAGAGAGAGAGAGATGTTTGCCCCTGGCGAGAGAAAGAGAGATGTTTGCTTAGGCTTAGGCTTAGGCCAAGTTTTTACCTTTTGTGCATTGCGGGAGGCCGCGGCAAAGGTCCAGGAGCTTGGCTGCCAGAGCCTGTCCAACGCCATCCGGAACTCCGGCAAGCCTGCGCTTCCACACCGCCTAATTCTGAGAACTTTTGGCTCTCAGGCTGTTCGGAGGATTCAAGAGCCTCTTCCGCAGGAGCTTTCGAATGCGGCTTGAGATCCCAGCTCCTCGCTGTCGCAAGAGGAGGCTTCGATGGATGCGGCAGCAACAACTGCGGTCGCTCTGGCCTCCACCGGTGACAACCCACGTCCCAGTCCACAGGACACTGCCAACGTGGTCCAGGTGCCTTGGAATGGTTGTGGCATGTGCTTGTATGGCCTTTGCACAACTTCCTGCCCCTCTTCGGGTGACTCCAAGGCTTCTGGCCGCGTGCACATCACCGGCCTCCCTCTCCTCGATTGGACCCTGATCTCTGCCAGCCCCATCCTGCCACAGTTTGATGCCCAAGGCTCATCAAACCTGTTGTGGGCACCAGCAGAAGCTGCGCACGAGCATCGGCCATTCACTGATGCAGCCTCCTCGGCCTCCACAGCTTCTTTGCCACTGTTGGCAACATCTCCGGGGTTGTCGAGTACATTCATGCTTCAGAAACGAACTGCAGACATCCAAGGAAAAGCTTCATGAGCTTGAGTTTCAGGGGCTCGCGAACTCTGCATGAAGAACCGCCACGATGACTGCTTCAGAGGGCTTGCTGATGGATGGCATCGCATCGAGAGTGCTTGAGCATCCTACCGCAGGCTAGAGCCTTGCACCCCTCTCATCCCCTCTCACTCTTCCTTCTCCCTCCCTGTACAGCGTACTCAACAGAAGCGCGGTTGCTCGTGGAGCTGAAGGCCGTCACTTGGGGGCTGCGTGGCCTCTTTGGCGTGCGGGGAAAGGCGGGCCGTGTTGCGGGCAGTTGCAGGAGCAGCGTTGCTTGGTTGGGAGCAGCGAGTTTTTCAGGTGGCTCCTGGAGACTGTTGCTCCCCTCCGGGTCCGTGCCTTGAAGAGAAGTGCTCGACACAGTGCTGGAGGCACTTGCCTCGTGCCAGGACGGAGCACCGTGTGCTGGATGCCGTTTCGATGGGCTTTCTCATGATGCTTGCTTTCTGGGAGAAGGATGTTGCGGCCGACCAGTCCCTGGCCGCAAACGGCTCCATCCTGAGTCTTCATATGCGACTCCGACTCAGGACCTTGCTCTTGGCCATGATGGGCTCGGTCACTCTGCGTCTGCCGCTTCTGCAAGTGGAGACTCCGTGGACGCGTGTGGACGTAGGTTTCGAGGCACGGGCGAGGACAGAGCGAGGGAGAGCTTGCGTTCAAGCTGATTGATTGCAGGCCTTCCTGCACCGAAGATACCACAAAGTTGTCCGTCTGATGGACTTCATGGCAGCCACGGGGACTTGTAGTGCCAAAGGCGTGGTCGAGGCCTGTGAAGTCTTCGCATCCAGTGGCCAGCGCCAGTGGCTCAAAGTGGCCGGCGAGGCCAAGGCCCAGGCCGGGGCCGAGCCGAAAGCGGAAAGCGGAGCGAAAGCGGAGCGAGCTGCGCGAGCTGCGGTGTGAAAGCAGAGCTTTGCCCGCCTTGCCCGGAGGTGATCGACGCGTCTCTGGCTTTGCGACGTGCACCAGAGAGGGCCATCGTGGCCGAGTTCGGATCCTTTGTTGGCTACTCCTGCGTGCGAATGGCTTGGCGTGCAGGACGGTGGGGTCCAGGGCAAAGGTAAAAGCTGACACCTTACATGGGCGGTTGGATAAGGGGGAGCATCTCACGCCCTCGTCAGCCTGAATAGGAGACCCTCACAAGCCTGCGGCTCTGAGGCCCCAGCTTTACAGCCACACCGCAAGTTCAACCGAGCTGTTGGAACAACCTCCCAGCGCACCTTGCGGTCTTCTGTCCGGCCCCTGCCATCCTTCTCTTTTGCAATGGCGCAGGGGGTCGACAAGCAAAAGGCACCGACATCTCTTCGCTTCGAGAAATGAGACAAAGTCGAAACCTCGAATGAGAACGGTAGTATGGTGTGCCACAGTGTCCAACACGAGGCTGGCGTGGGCGGAAGTTCAATCACGTTGTGCGAATCAATTCCACTGCACTCAGTATGGAGTGCGAACTCAGGAGAACTGGTCCGTGGCTGTGGCTAGGTAATGGCCTTGGTGCAAACTAGTACTGTAATACTCTGTCTTATCAGTATCACACCGACGCCGAAAAGCCGGGCGCGAGGTGGTGACATGCCCCCAAATCCCGAGAGAGAGACATTGAGACAGAGAGAGCGAGCGAGAGCGAGAGCGAGAGCGAGAGAGAGAGAGAGAGAGAGAGAGAGAGCGCGAGCGGGTTACAGTAGTTGTGAGAGAGCCTTGCCTTAGAAAGTGCGACCATGATAGAATCTATGTCGGGGAAGAACTCCATGAGATGCACTCAACCTCCACTTGAGTCGGCCCTGACTTGATAGCCCCGACTTGGTCAAAACAAGAGCCTGGCAGACATGGCAGGGCACAGAGGGGAATACCTTGCCTTGCACTGATATTTCACTGTATATTCAGTCCAGTTGATTCGATCTTTCCACTGCTATGCTCTTGTTGTCGATCAGTCCTTACTGTGATCTACATTGTTGGAATCATGATTTTCATCGAGACTTTCAAGCTGCACAGTAGAAGCTGTTGTAGCGAGCCGGCACACAAGACGTGGCCATAGTCCATGTGTGGGGGGGCACCTGGCAGGGGGGAAGGTCCCTTCGAAAGCATACCGGCGCGGGAGGGAGAAAGCGGGGATAGCATAGCTGGGTTTCGCGGCAAGGATGCCACCACGTCGTGTCGCTGGAGTCCGATGCGGTGCACGTGCTGGTAGCTCGACATGTTGTCGCCCTTGCCGGGCTTTCGCACTGCGTGGAGATCATGCCGGGGATGGCCCACGATGTGCTGGATCGGTTGGTTGAGGACTGGGGTGCAGGCCGACAGTCAACAGCATAAGACTAAAGAGGCTGACTCGAAGATTGCAGTCTGCAGTATGTTGTAGTGACGTTATGAATTATGTTGTTGTGCCAAAGCATCGAGGTGGCACGGACTTTGCATTTTTCGACCACCGCGGCACACGGTTCCACTCGGACATGGTCCACTTGCAGCGTACGGAGGCACTGCGAGGCCGCATCCTCGCGGACAACACTCTGAAGCCTGGGGCGCCCGAATTTTTGTGGCTGCTTTGCAAGGCCGGCGGTTTGACTCTGAGACTGCCGTGAGACTGCCGTAAGACTGCCGTCCCACGTCTGCCAGGGCTCGGCGGGCTCGGGCTCGAACGGAGTCGCCTCGTGGTCACTCCCCGAGTTTCTGACTGAGACATGCGAGGATTGGATGACCAGTGCAGACACTGATGTGTCTTCGGCGACAAAACAACGGCTGGCTGTTGCATGCTGCCTGTGCGTCATACTCCCTGCCAGAGCATCGCGACCTTGGTTCAGGGCGAGGACGACGACATGGAGGAGGACGAAGAGGAAGAGGAAGAGGAATACGAAGATGATGCAGTTGCAGAGGACCTTGACATGCACGCATCGCAAACCCCTCCTCTAGATGATCAGCAGGGATGGATATAGCACGGGAGATCCAAGAAGGACAGCAAGGTGTGGTCTCCTGTCAAGACAGGACGTTGCATCGGCTTTGCCATCGGCTTCCACCGCTCGCAGGTGCGAAAAGCGGATGCTCTTCCGGCACGTTTGGTGCTCTCGGTCTCGGTCTTGGCCTTCAGGTCCGCGTTGCGAAAATCAACCCCGGCTGGCACAGTGAAGGCTAGCATGCCGCACTGTCCACGGTGTGATTCTTGCAGCCAAAAAGTGCTCATGGCGCTCTCAAAGTTGCCGCACCCATCCACGATTTTCCACCTCTGGAGGCTGATGCAGGAGATGAGGAGGAGCAGGACGACGAAGCCGAAGAGGAGGAGGAGGACGAGGAGGCAGACGAGGCCGAGGGGGAAGCCATGCTGTCGTCAGAACACCAGCGCAGCATCCGAAGGATGAGGAGGTCGAACCTGTCAGACCCGTCGGAGCCTCGGAGCGTCCTGAAGCTGCGACTTCTGCCGCCCTCCGTTGAGGCAAAAGCCGAAGCGAAAGCCAAACCAGGGCGCCGGAGGATGCAGGCTTGAACCGACACAAAGCCACAAAGCCTAAGAAGCCAGAATCCGGCCTGCGTCAGGATGAGCAGTATTCCCTCATGAGGGGAGTGGACTTGCAAGGAGTTCCGGCCTCAGGCTTCCCTGCCCTGCCTTTTCCTGCCGATCGAAGCCCTCAGCTTAAGGTAACCACGGTCCTGAACGCAGATGTGCCTACGTCGGTGCGGGACTATGTGTGCAGCTCAGTCTGCCTGTTGTATCGCACTGCATTGGAAAGCTTGTGCTCCGGCACCACGCATGACTACGTGGACCTCTTTTGACAATTTGGCCGCTCTTAGGTGCACCGGGTGGGGCGCTGTGCCCGGGGTGGCCAAAGCGGCACTGCGCGAGGGACCCAGTGGCCAAAAGCCGCAGCTTCCCTTCGACTCTCCGGTGGGTCGTTCGAGGCTGACGATCTGCACCCATGAGGAGCAGTACCTCCCTGAGATCTTCAGGTGTTGTCTGCGAAAGCGAGCTGAGCCCTAAGGCCTATGCTTCAGAAGATCATTCAGGCACAGAGCCGTACAGGCACAGGGCTCCAGGCCCTGCCTATGCAGATCTCCGATGCCGAGCGCTTCCGCTTCCTGGTTGCACATGCCGCGACTTGAAACCTAGGACCTAGGGCTCGTAGTGGCATGGGATGTGCCAGGCTACCGTGTTGAAGACATGGTCCTCGACTCGGTTCTCCGGTGGGACGACGTGCTCGCTGAAGACAGCACTGCTACTGGCCACCAGGCAAGGGGCCTCACCAAGAAGGCCATATCCAAGTATCGTGCACGGGAGCTACAGATGGAGGCATTCCTCGGGCGTGAGCATGTGCTGTGTGGTCCCGGCGATGCAGTCAAGCGAAGGCCTTGCATTCCGAGAAGCTCAAGGCATACTTCGAAGAGCATCCAGATGACAAGAGAGCCTTGCAGAGGAGCCGCTCGCAGAATCTGCAGACTTATCTGCTCTTTGCTTCTCACAGGATGCAGCGAGCACTTCGCGAGCGAAAGTCGGTGAGGCAGCATTTAAAAAGCGCAGCAGACTAAGATGCGATGCTCCAGCTTTAAACTGACAATCAGTGCAATAAATGTGGCCACCGAGATCCCTTCCTACCTTGTGCCGGAAGCCTTCCAGAAAGCAACGCCTGCTTGAGCCTTGCGAGACGGATTTCTTCTCGCCGCGCTGACGGTTGGATGTTGAAAGGTTCAGAAGGCCGTCCGGGAGGCCAATGCAAGCGCAGGAAAGCCGACGAGCGCAGTCCGGCGGCCGCTTGCACAGAAAGGGTGGAGATTCGCACATGTCGTCGATCCCGCGGGGCCAGCCATAGACTCGTCTGAGGAAGCGCTTGATCAAGGCCAAGCAGCAGGCGCTCCAAAGCTAAAGAGCATCCCTTCGGCCTTCTGTGCAGTCGCACAGGATCCTCTGAAGAGCTTCGATACTCCGGGCGTTGAGAAGCGACGCAGATTCCTGAGCAGATGTGAAAGGGACATCCGACTTCGAAGTAACAGAGCTGGGATCTTCACGGTGCTGAGGCGATCGTTTCACACGCGATCGCATGATTGCGACAGCCCCGGCGGCCAGCAGTGTGCGTGTGTTTTTGTTTTCAGCGTGTCTTGCAGAGCTTTCGCAGAGCTCAGGCGAAGGAGCGACGCATGGACCCTGCCACCACCAACGTGGAGGCGGAATCGGAGCGAATCGCGGAGCGAGCAGCGAGTCGTTCGGCTTTGGCTCTCGATCAGGCGCTGCCACCGCTGTCTCGACACAAGCTTTGGAAGCCGCTTGGATTGGGGCTTCGCACTGCTCCCTATCGCTCGCTTCGCACTGCTCCCTATCGCTCGCTCGCTTTCTCGGGCCTCCTAGGCTGCAGCATGGCAAGCGCATCCGCAAGCCCATGGATGTGTTGGGGGAGCGGCGGCGGCTGACCCCAGGGCAGCGCAAGCGGCGGAAGAAGCCCTGAACCCAGCCTGGCTTCCGTCGTAAAGCTCAGCCCGACGGATAGGCCGTGGGGATGGCAAACCTGTGCAGGTTTGGCTGATCCATCCGCGTGCAGAAGAGGTCAAGACACTGAAGATGATAATGCATTAGCCATGTCTGGACTTTGTTCCTGCCTTGGCTGTGTCAATCTAGCTGCTGGCTGCAGTGGGCATGCAGTGACCGAAAAGGGCTCAAAGAGCGCTTCTATGTCGCTTGCATTCTAAGACCCGTGCAGCCTGACAGACTGGCCGAAAGATGGCACTCGGCAGCTCCCTGCAAAAATAGATCCGTTTGCTAGAGCGCAGGCAGCTGCAAGCGAGCTGTGGCAGAGCCTCTTGGCTCGAATCCCTCCACCCTGCTTTGACTGCTCTCGAGGTTGGCATAGTTACCATAGTTTGCCTGTCTCTGTCAGTCTGTCGCCATCGATGCGAGCCCTGGTATCTGGCTTGCTCACAGTGGTAGCGGCAGGTGCAAGTCAATTTGCGGGTGCCGCCATGTGCAACGGAGCATTGAGCGGATCAGACCAGTGCCAGCTGCGAAGCGCAAACCATTGCCGTGGGCAATTGAATTGCAGGTCATTTTGTTGGAATTCGGATCATTGGAGCTGGTTCAATCCAATCCCCGAAGCTGACTACACCAACCACAATGAAAGCAGTTATGGAAGAGGCTGGCATTGCTACCGCAAGGCACCCGGCACTAAGGCTGGTACATTCCGACGGGGATTCCTGGAGGAATTTGAACCCTGCATTGACCACCGTTTGCAACCTTAACTCGCAGAAGCATAGGGCCATGAACAACGTTTGGAGTTTCCGAAGACCGGGTTGCAGGCGACGATATTCAACGTCGGAATGTTAGGTGGAACTTCACATCATTGATATCATTCTGCAGGCCGTGGCGCAACAAACCTGGCTGGAATACGAAACAGCTAGATCCAACAACTATCCGGGCATTGTGGATGGAGAAGACGCGATTAGGCTTCGAAGTGGTCAAAGCTTCGAAGACTCCAGATTCCGGCTGATGTTTGTCCATGAATTCTGCCATGCATGCGGAGGAGCTGGGGGCAACCATCCTGATTTAGTGATCGGTACATCTTCAGGGTTCCTTGCGCTGTTCGGGCACAGCAAGATGACGAGTGCACTGACGTGCGTCCAGGTTCGCGCCAACGCTACAAGTTCTCTTGCACCTCCCACTGGTCAGCTAGCTCTCGTGGTGTGGCTTTGCCGGCTTGGGATGCCAGCAAGATTGCATGGATGCTGCGTTTACAAAGCGGGACAACAACCCCCAAGACTGGCTGGCCTTTAACATTGCCGGATGCGGAGTCTACTACAAGCAGAGATCCTGTGAAGGATAGGATATGAGAGGATGCGAACCGCAACATGTTCGCAACTTTTAGCTCATTTTTTTCACGGATGCCACCGGCTACAATTGTCCCGGCTTGTGTGCATCAGTGATTGAGCGTGTCGGACATTCGTTGCTGTTCGTGCTGCATGCACTCTGGCAGTAAAGCTCCAAGAGCCTTCGGTGCGATTTTCCATTTCTACGAAACCTGCAGAAACTCAGAAAACGGCTCGTGATGAAAATCCTTCGAAGTGGCACCGCAAGTCATTTTTGATTCTGCTGCTCTGCAGCGTAGTTCGCTGCGTTTCTTTGCAAATTGTCAATGCAAGCTTCATGTCGTCGTTGCCATTAGCCACGTGTGCAGTGGTGCGCGTTTCCTGTGTACATGTCGTTGTGCCACGCCCCGCAGTTGTGGGCTCATTGCACTTCCCGCAAATTCTCGGCCGGGCAGCAGGCAGGCGTTTGGTGGCATGCAATTGATCGGGCGGCTTTGTTCCCAATGCGAAGCAGGAAGTCACCATGCAGCCGAGGCCGCAAGCTGAGTGTTCTCGCCGTCTTTTAGTCCCGACGCTTTCCGCTGTTGAGCCAAAGGTCGAGATCTGTGCGGCACGCACTGAAAACGAAGGATGACCTGGAGAAGGACTTGAAAAGAGCAAGCTGCTCAGCCTGCTCAGAACAACAACGGCAGGAGCGGCTACGCCATCGCTCCGGGGGCTTCTTCCGTTATGAGAGCCTCGGCACGGCATTGAGCAACTTCGCAAGTTCCGTCAACTTGAGCCTCCTCCTCTGGCCTTTTTGCAAGCGAGGAATCGCGACAATCCTATCGATGTCGTCCCGGGCTCAAGACAGGCCAAGGTGTTGCTTTCGTGTAGGGGCATGTCAAGAAGCTTCAGGTTCTCAACTGCCCCGGCTACTGTGGACCTCGAGAAAGGATGACTGCCGGACCTCACTGCGAAGAGGTGCAGAAGTTGAAACATTCGACAGCTGGACACGCTCCGTAAAAATTCAGGTGAACTACGCCGAGCGCGAGCACGCCAAGGTAGTTCGAGACGAGCTCACAGAGGCTCCACGAACTTTGCCATGCCGGTGGCTTCCGGCTTATTCGACGATGTGCTTGTCAAGGCCCGCCGCAAAGGCAAGTACGACAGAGAGGAGCACAGATGGCGATGCATTGCCAATGCAGACCAGGAGAGACACCAGAGACAACAGTTTGGAGTCAGCCTGTACACTGCACCGAGCTTGCTTCTGCCCGCAGGCAGGTGTAGACCGAGTTTCGCGTATGCAGCATGATCCCATGATGGGAAGGAAGAACGTTTCAGGCCCGTGCTTTACCCAGCTATTTTGGTTTCGGTTTTGTCGCATGGGCGTGTTCAGGCCAGCCATTCAACATCGTAAACCATTGCCGTCTGCCAAGTTCCGTGCATGTTTTTAAGGTTAGGTGCCCGTCTTGGAAGTCTGAGGCTATGACAGGACTCCCGCTGGGGCGCAGTTGGAGCACCACGACAACATGATCCGGCATCCCCGAGTCGTTAAGTGTGAGATGGACGGATGCGGTTTCGTTAGCTGGTCTGACCCTGTCACGCGACGGGACACGATTATATGTGTACTCCAGATGAGCTCGTTTGTTGCCGCGATTCGAGTTCGGAAGCTTCTGGATGCCAGGTATCGCTCGAGGGTGCGGGAGGCCGCATTGGCCATGCGAAATCACTTGGGGCCCGGGCCCATGAATTCTCGGTGTCTCACAAATGCCTTGCCACTGTATCTCCACTAGTGACTTTTGAGCGCGAAAGAGCAGCCAGGTTCAATCCCATCATCGGGGAGCAGCTTGGACCTCAGCGGTGAATGATGTGGGCACCGATGTGGATGCCAAATCTGAGACCTCGAACGGGGTTTTCGCAGACAAGACACATGCATTCCTCCTTTGGGACTCCTTCAGAAACTCATTACATCCCAGAAGAAGCTTCCAAGAGCCAGGAAGAGCGAGGGCTATTCTCTGGCCTGGGCGGGAGAATGTACAAGAATCGCTGTTGGGAACATCGCATCACAGCAGCGATGATGCATCTGCAGCCAGGGCTTGTTCGAGAGAAGGCCACCCGGTCCTACGCGGACTCGCTGGAGGTAAAGCCGATTCCGTTCTGCTGATGCAAGATGTCGCTGAAGAGACCAGCACTCCGCTGATGTGGGCTTCTTATCCAGCAAACACAGACCTCAAACGGATGATGGCCGGCTGTCGGCAGAATCATCGACTTAGAGAACGTATCATATGCGCTTGTCTCCGGTGAAACATCGAGCACAGAGAGGGCGTCCCAAATTAAAATGGCTCACGATGGCCAGAAGCGCAGCCAGGAGTCGAAGGCAGACCCCCAGCAAAGAGATTCGGGCGGTACCTTTTCATCCAAGGGTCAGTGTCCTGACACCGTTCCAAGCACTGTTGCATAAGCAAGTGTTCGACCCCCTTGACCGAAGTGCAATGCAAGTGCAGGACGGTGCGGTTTCTCTGCGCACGGAGTAGAATATTGTGCGGCGCTGTTGCACGCCAAGGACACACGGGATTTCACTTCCTCCACCTCCGCGGCCACCACCCTTGGCTTTGGCCGGGAGCTTTTGCATCTTTTGCGGATGTTTGCAGGCCAGCGCAGTCGCCAAGCCCTTCCCATCTGAGGCCTAGGTGCTGCCTGAGAGCAGGGCGATGCAGCATCAAGGGTGAGGGCACGCTGCCGGCCTCTAGGTTTCTCGAGATTTTCAATCGCTTGGGCTCGCCGGCATTGCCGGTTGGCATCATGTACAGAGATGCAGGGGTGCCGAAAGTTCAGGTGCTTGCCTCGGTCCTACGACCTAAGAGCTTCTTGATGATGTTGGGAATCTGAAGAGGCACTTCACTACTCTCATGTCTTATGCATGCGCAGTTTCTTTGCAGCAGAGTGCGCGTCTCGACACTAGAGAAGCCGGCTACGAATCTGCAGTTTCACCGACGGCATGTGTATCCAAGCATGCAGTGATGTTTCACCTGCCAGCCAGCATGCACCAAACGGCATTTGCATGTTGCGTCCTCAAACCTCCGGATGCTTCAAAACAGCCTGAATGGGAACCTTCTGTGGGAGTCGGCAAGTACACTGGAGATCGCGAAAAGTTGCTTGCGACTTTCGTTGTCGGCGCAGGCATTTGGTTTCACTGAGGAAATGCATACGCGGAGACTTACATTGGCCGCCGTGGTGCGGCTCAACCCTAGCAGCCCCAGCAGCCCATCAACTAGACCGCATATCATACTTTTGTCCAGCAGTTTCATGACATTTCAACAAGTCAGCACTAACACCTGAATTCGTGTGCTTGGCCTTCCGTGATGCCCTCCGACGACTCCTCAGTTCGCTCGAGTGACGGACTATTTTGGTGGAGAGCTCCGTCGGATCTCCCAGGAGCTGCTCTCAGCACTTTTCAAGCGCCGCTCCGATGTGGATTCTGCGGGGCAGCGGCTGCCTCAGAGACTCTGCGATGTCTGCGCTCGACGGGGCCTTCGCTGAGGACCTGGGAATCCAGGCCCACGGAGTCCTCGGCGGACGCTGGAGCGCCGCTCGGCGAGGATTGTTGTCGCCGGGAGGGCACTTGTGGCACTGGACAAGACGGCGGCTCTGTTCTCACCCGCCAGCAGAAGACAAAAATCGTGGACCCAATTGTTTTTTTTTTGGGGGGGCACACCCGTATTTGGCAGACGCCGGAGAGGTCAGCCTTGCACCTTCAGGTCACACCTTGCCGGTCTGACGTTCGATGCGCCCTCGGCGCAGGCCGCAGGGTCGGCTTGGTTTTTTCGGGTCAAAGTCAGAGTGCTCGCCTTCCTGACGCCTGGAACAGTCCCCAGGAGTGGCTAAAGCAACTGGAGCCATCGCCGGGGCCTCATCTTGACTTTTGAGATGTCAGAAAGCCGGCTGGGACTCGACAGGCCAGAAGAAGACCTATTGGCAGATGCCCTGGTTGAAGGTGCCGACAAACGTTCCATCGTGGAGGAAGCACAGGGAGAAGAAATCCGTGCTATTTGCCAGGACTGTCCGAGCGCCAGAAGGCTGCCCCGTCGCATCTTCCCCGTGCCGTGAAGCCGGAGGACGGAAGCTCATTGTGGCATGGTCGGATTAAGGCTCTCGCAGCATAAATGCTGCCAACTTGCAAGAGAGCAAACAAGGACGGAGGAAACAGAGCCGCGCACCGCTGCACACACGTATGATTCTCACGTTCCGCTTTCGGGCGCATGATGTGCCCGGACCCACAGAGGCGACTGGATGTCTGCAGACTTGCGGAATGTATGCATGCACCGCGATTTGCACCGACCCACCGCCCTACCTAACCACCTACCCACCAGCCCCCCCCACCCGTGCAGTGTTTTCGTTCCTGATGAGAGGTTTTGGAGGTCTCGAGAAAGTGGAAAGATATCCACGCACAGCATTATCGTTTCTTAGTTTCCGATCATCGTGTTCGTGACACTGTTGCTTGGCACATCCGACCCGCATTTGCAGGACTATCTGTCTCAGATCGCAGACGCAGGGCTGTTGTATGGCATGGAGCTTCACTGGGATAAGTTTCAATTGCTACAAGTACAACGTCAAGCAATCATTCGGACTCCGACGGGTGAACATATTTCAGCAAAACTGGGCATCGACTATTTGGGATCTGTTCTCAGTTATGATGGGCTACCAGGGCATGAACTTGGTCGGAGAATCGGGATGGCAAAGCGGGATTTTCTTGAGCTCCAAAAAGTTTGGAAGCATTCTTCATTATCGCGGGATCGGAAGATTCAAATCTACAAAGCTCTTATTGAATCGAAACTGATGTATTCTCTGAGCTGCTTGTGTTTATCTTCCACGGATCGCCGGCGTCTTGATGGCTTTCAAAACCGTTGTTTGCGAAGTATTCTCGGCATACCACCTGCTTTCATCTTGAGAGTACCCAATGCGGAAGTTCTGTGCAGAGCTTGTTACCCCGCTGCTACAGACATGCTCCTGAAACGACAACTCCTCCTTGTTGGTAAAGTGCTGCGATCTGCATAC